ATATGCACTGAGAGCTATAATTCCCTTTCAGCACAGATTCAGCCATGTATAAACTATCTACTGCATTTAACAAATTACCCCAAAACTTAGCTACTAAAAACAACAATAAATATTTGCTATCTCAGAGTGGAAGGGCCAAGACTTCAGGAGCAGTTTAGCTCCTGGTGTTTCTGGCTCAGAGTCTCATAAGGTTGTAGTCAAGATATCAGCCTGAGCTTAACTGGGGATGGAGGACCTGCTTCCAACAGAGCCGACTCAAGTGGCTATGGAGGAGATCTGTTATTTGTCATAAAGTCTTTTCCATAAGGCTGTTTGAGTGTTTTATCGACATGGAATCTGGCTCCCTATAAGATCAGTAAATTAAGACAGAAGCTTCCATGTCTTTCATTATCCAGCAGTGGAAGTCACAATACAACATCTTCCCAATATCCTATAGGTTACAAAGGTCAACCATATTCAACATGGAGACAACCAGGAACAGGACTACCAGTAGGAAATAATCACTGGGCACCATCTTGGCTGGCTGGCTACCAAACTCTCCACAAGTTATGATATGTAATATTTTCATTATTAATCAGTTCACAATATTCTCAAATTATTATTGTGACTTCTTTGATGCATGAGTTATTTAAAAGTATACTGCTTAACTTACCCAAGTGTGGATTATCTGTTACTAATTTTGGCTGCTAGTTATTTCTAGCTTAACTGCACTAGTGTCAGAAAATATACTTAGGATTATTTTAGTATTTCCAAATGTGTTGAGAATTTGCTTTAAGGGTCATCATGTGGAAAATATGTAACATCCCACCTATGACTTAAAAGAAATAAAATATTATATGCAATATTCAAATATGTCAACACTATACTGTTCAAATGTTCATTCTTAATGATACAGACTATTCTTTGAATTACTGAGAGAGGCAGAGGTGTATCTAATCCCAATTGTGACAGTGGACAGCTAGTTTCCCCACAGATTCTTTTTTGCTTTATGTATCTTGAGGCTGTGTTCCAAACAGTGACAAATTTAGAACTCTACTTCCTTTCTAATGAATCCCTCTATCATTATAAATTGTCCCTCTTTGTCTCTAAAAAACATTATTGCCTTAAAGCTTATTTATTTAATGTTAGTATGTTACACCAGCCTTCTTATGGTTAATGTTTGCATAATCTTTTCCATCCTTTACTTTCAGCCTCCTATTATCCTTATATTGAAGGTGGGGTTTTGTTCATTTATTTGTATCTGAAATCTTTGTCTCTTTTTATTTGGACCATTTAAGGCACTTACAAGTTAAATATTTTTCTAATTGCCAGAAAAATACACTTGTTCACTGAATGGCTTTTTATTTAATATATGCACTGAGAGCTATAAATTTCCCTTTCAGCACAGATTCAGCCATGTATAAACTATCTACTGCATTTAACAAATTACCCCAAAACTTAGCTACTAAAAACAATAAATATTTGCTATCTCAGAGTGCCATCCAATGTTACCTGAGCATCACCTTAGTACTTTCTCGTATTTCTTTTTCTCTCTTGTCTTCTTTTTTATTTTTTTATTATTCCATACTCCCCCACCCCCAGCCTCCAGTTAGCTTGGTAGTTATTGTCTTGTTATTCTTTTAGTTGTTAGAGATTACAAAATGCATCTTAACCTTATTAAAAATCTAGTAATATGTTTATTTTCAACTTCTCAAACAATGCAAAGGTCTAAGAATATTAAAGTTACCACCCCTAATTTACAAGCTATTATTACTATCATTTTTATTCCATATATATTTTTAAACCCAATATACTTGTATTTACTCAATGTATTCCCATGACCCACACAGGTTTCTTTTTAAACTCTTCATTCCTTCTTGAACCTCCAAACCTGGAATCCTATTCCCTCTATGCCTGAAGAACACTATTCAGAATTCCCCTTTATGTCAGTGGTATTTTCAGTGGGTTCAGAGTTCCTGACCGCCAGTCATTTCCTATTATCAGTGCTCTAGAACAGCACTTGTCTGTCACCTTCCACTGAGAAGCCAGCCATCAGTCTTACTGTTTCTTGATTTCCCTCTGGTTTAAGAGTTCCCTTGGGTTTTATTCTGAAGTTCAGTAGCTATAGCTTTGTGTGTACTATTCTGCTCAGGATGTCTGTGTTTCTGTAGATTTATTTCTTCAGTGCACCTTATTTTCAGCTATACTCACTTCAAGCACAGCTTTTGCTTCATTACTTTCTTCAGGAATTCCAATTATACATATGATATACAGGCATGCATACCCATGTGGTATATTTTCAGCATATCCTCTCTATTAAACTCATTCTATATAGTCCAATCTCTTCCCTCTGTGCTTCAGTCCACTTTTCTTCTGACATCACTTCCAGTTAATTCTCTTTGATTTCTTCAGTTGTGTCTAATCTGCCATTATCACAATCCACTGAATTCTTAAATTCAGTTACAGAGTTCAAGTCCAGAATTTCCTTTCTAATAACTTCCAATTCTCTGCTGAAATTTTTTCTTACTTTTAATTAGTTGAATTTACTATGTATTAATTGTTCTAAGATATATCCTCCCCAATCCTATAAGTCTTTCAAAAATTCTGCTAAGCTTCTCAGTCACCTCCTGTGGAATTGGCAAATGCCTTCAAAATCAACGTTCCTCTTATCTACTGTATCTCAGCTCCATAACTGTTTATTACATTAGTAACTCAGGTATTTTCTCACTTTCATCTAGCTTGTCTACTTGTTTTGAAAAAAGAAGGCTAAGTCAGCCATGCATTATGTCTTTCATTACTGAGAAATGTTCATCTGCTATTCTATTAGACGGACAAAAGGTTCTACCTCTGATTGTAATCTGGCTATGTTTGACACTAACATTTTTGAGGCTGTAAAATTTATTAAGTGACACTATATAATGCTACCCTTAATGTTAAACTTGAGAAAGGTGTACACTAAAATAGTAATTATTTTTAGATGGTAAACCTCTATGGAGATGTTCTATTTGCTATTAATTATCATCTCATTTTTCTGCAAACATTACTTGTGCTTTTTCATAAACTGAAAACCTTTATTGAAATAAAGGTTTTTCTATATGCGAGTAACAATATCTTCTATACTCCAAGCAAAGAACGTGAAAAAGGTTAATTAACTAAAATTATTTACTTTGATTTCAAAGTAACCAGTAGTAAGCACAGATGAACCTCCTATTATATTAAAATCTTGCTACCACTGGAGATTTTCTCAGATATATTCTGTAGATGACAAACACATGGGCTGCCATTACCAAAAGAAGGGGTTTCAGGGAAGACAAGAGTTGCACTAAGATACTGAAGAATTTTTTGTAGCGGCTTTCAGACACCCTCATCTCACAAAGTACCAGGAGTTTTCGTACCATGAGTTTTCTCACTTACTACTACAGTGCCATCAAGTTCGTATCATAGAGGGAAATGATGGCTGTGGAACACAGTTAGAATTTAATTTTCAAACAAAGAAACCTTCCAGAGAACAAAATATTCCTTGTAAATAAAAATGAACAGGCAAACCAAAGTCCTGCTTAAATTTTCAAAATAGAACACTTAAAACCCCAATTACAGTTTGCCTTCATCGAAAAGTAAGTCTACAGTCTCTCTTCTTTGAGAACACTGACCAGAAAAGTCACCTTTGTCACAGAACTTCCCGCCAAATCTATGTAGAGATCACCTAACATACAGCCTGGGTGAATTCATATACACAAATGGAGCCACTCCCATAGTTTTAACCTCAAGTTACAGCTCCAATGTGCCTTAAGAGATCTTACAAAGCATTACCCTCCTAACAAATTGTAATTTTCAAAAAAATGACTGAATAGCACTATTTTCAGTCCCTAATGAACTAATGGATCTAAGACAGTAATCATCAATGGCCACTAGAGAGACCACCAGATATTTTATACCTGAAGAACACAAGCTTCTACATCAATGAATTGTGGTCCCTGCGGGAGGAGTAGCAGGATCAAGGAACTTGAAGTGTAAATTCTCAGGCTCCACTTCCAATATTTTGAAGCAGAATCTTTGGGTGGGGCCTAGACATCTGTGTTTTAATCAAGGCCTCCAGGTGACACTCATGCACATTAAACACAACTACTGTGCTGAATCCAAGAACCAATTTACAGGAAAAACAGAGAAGCAAGTTAATCTACTCCTCAAAGGTGCAAATGGTAAAATCCAAACTGTGGGAACTCTACATAGTATAATCCAATTACTTTAACAAAGAAACGGCAAGGAGCTTTTAAAGAATTGGGCAAAAGGATGCACTTTGTTTTAAGCTTCTTTTAATATACAGCAACCAATTATAAGGTATAAACTTTGGCTCCTAATTCAAACAAACAAAATAATGCTATTTATGATACAACTAGAAATTTGAACATCAATAAATAATAAGGTTGTATTTGTTTTTAAATCCTTTTCTTTTAGAAAGACATACTGAACTATTTTCAGAGAAAAAAATTATGAAATCTATGATTCGCTCCAGGTACAAGGTAAAGAGGTTGGGAAAGAATTGGCAATGGGTTGATAGGCACATAGGGGATCACTGTACTATTCTATTTATAGTCAAAATTTCATATATACACACACACACATACACACACATATTTTAAAAATACATAAAATATATTTAAAATTAAAAAAGTTAATATATTGCAGCAAATTTAATCAACTTATCAAAGGCCACACATTTTAAAGTAGAAAAATCATTAACCTATCACCAGTTTGTAAGTGACATTCATTCAGTTCAACCCTAAACATAAAGGAAGCAGTAAGTCATCCAACAGGCTTTATGCAAAGCTCGAACTGCATCAGATATTTATTACATCACCCTTCCAAGACTTATGGAAGTATAATTAATTATATTTTCTCAATTACTAAATTTAAAATAGATCATGTAATTATGTAATTACTAAGGATCTTACTTTCCTCCAAAAAGGGTTTTAAAGAAAAAGCAAATCAACACTCAAATGTGCACACTATAGCTAGTTTACCTGTAAAGATGTAATTGAGCCTGTGTGTCCTTGGAGTACAGCTACAGGGGCACAAGTTCTTAAACACCACACTCTGATTATTTTATCGCAGCTCCCTGCAGCGATCATTGTATTCTCATAGTTTACTGCCATATCTGAGATTTCTGCAGAATGGCCTCTTAATGTGGATAACAGACGGCCATTATGTGTTGACCAAATCTTCACCAAACAATCATCTGAACCCTAAGAAAAAATACACCCCAAAAATAAATGTTAATACAGCACATCTTCCATAGCATTTTTTAAAATACCATTTACATGTCACTCAAATCAAATATGTGTAACTCCTCTTTTTCCAACCATAGAATACTCTGTAAATTATGAATCTCATGGTCCAAACACTTAACAGTAGCTTTTTTCTTCACATCAAATGTCTGCATAAAGATATGGTGATGTTTTCACTTCTATGGAACAGACCACATTATAAACACAATTTTCCCAAAATTCTCTGCCAAGCAGTAAGTCCACCTAAAAGCTCATGACTCACTTATTTTCAATTAACAGTGTTAAACGTTCGTTTAACTCACATCAAACTAAATAATTGGATGAGTGTTAAGGACAGATATGTATTTCACAGACCGAGTAAATGGCACCCCCAAAGGCAACTAAAAAATAATGGGACTGGCACCCTCAATTTAAATAACCAAACAACAGTGTCTCAAATTTATAGTACCAGCCAGCATCCATCCACTCAGCAAATATTTGAGTGTCTAACTCTGAATTTCACAAATGTAAAAAGAAACTTAAACTTCTTAACCACCCTAATTTTTCCTTACAACATTAAAATGGTAAACTCCAAATATTTGCATAAAACAATCTCTCAGGGTTCAAGTCATCACACAGTCTCCCTGAATCAGAGAGTGATCAATGTGAAAATGAATCAACTCCAGAGATCTAGATTTTTGTGGGGGGTTTTTTGGTTGTTTTTGGTTAATAAGCATTCTAGAAATTAACCTAATTCAGCTGGAGGAGATTAGGCATGCATATTTTTAAGCATCCTTGATAATGACACCTAAGAGCCAGAGCTCTAAAGCAAAGTCTCACAAGCACCACACAAGGTCTAACTATCTGCATCTGAATCACTTGGGATATGTAATAAAAATGCAAATTCATTGGCCCCCACCCCAGACCTACTGATCAAAATCCCTAAGAATAGGAAACATAAAAATTATATGTTTCTTAAGACTTCCTAGATGATGCTGATGCACATGAAAGAGCTCCAGATACTGAGACAGGGACTATGGGTGTAGTCATAGTAGGGTAAGGGCCTCCAGAAAAAGCAAGGCAGGATAATTACAGTCAGAGCAATGTAACTACATGCAAGGAAACCCCCTACCAAAACTCTGTGTTAAACATTAAGCTCTGCAGTCATTCTTCAGGGAAATCAGTTAATATTCCCCAGTTAAAGAAGAATAGCACATGTGTTTATTATGCTAATCATTTGTAATTATGTGTAAGATTCACTTTAGCATGCTAAAAGGCCCAGGCCTATATGCTGTCTTTCCTTCCTCAGACCTGATGTGATTTGCAAACTGGGCAACTAATTTAGCATGTAGGCCCAGCTGTAAACAACACAGTAAAAGGCAGGAAGGATTCCACCTTAAAGTTAAGATTGCATTTTAATACCCAGGAAGTTAAGAACTGAGATTCTTAACTTACTCTTTAGCAAACAGACAATAACTCAGCCCACCTTGGGGGCTGGGCAGGCAGTGTTTGATATGCTCCCAGACCAAGACTCTGGTATCTCAGGGAGAAATCACAGCAGGAAGTACCATGTTCAGGGACCACTTAACAAGTCCACACCCCTAGGCCTTTTCTCATGTTCCCAAAAATCCTCAACTGCCTATAAAACCTCTAGACAACGCACCACTATGGGCTCTCTTTTTCCCTCCTGGTGTGAGCCAGGAGCTCTGTCCTCTCACTGTATCCTTAACTAAAAGCCTCCCCTACCTTGAGTGTTTGCTAAGTTCATTCTTCAACTCCACAAACAAGAATCCCAGCATCAATACCACCAAACTGAGTTTAAAATGTTAACTCACTGTAAAGATTCTATGTCCTGTCCTATCAAATGCTACACAATAAACAGCAGATAGATGTCCAAGAATCCTTCTGTGCATTTTTATATGCTGATACATAATTCCTGGAAATGTTGTGCTAAAAGTAGAACACCCTCTGAGTTGTTTTCCTCGATGTATCTCCACTAGGAAATAAAAACAACGAAAATGGTTAAGGGGGAGCAAATATGTAAAAAGCTAAGAAACACTACAAAACAATTTCTACAGGGTCATAAAATCTATGTTCAACAAAATATTTAAGGACACAAGTTTCTTCCCAATTCTGTTCTACTATAATCACTAGTACAGACTCTTAGTACAGTTAAGATGTTTCATTCATTTTACTTTAAGTAGTAATTTTAGGAAAACAATAAATTTGAAAATTGATACTTGTTACTATTCAGCCACCACCACTACCAGTATATTCCCTTTTAAATTCTACTATAGCAGTTACAAAGTTGGTCAAAGAGGTAAAGAAAGATTTTGGGTCCTCTGAAAAGCAAATCTCACTTACCAAGATTTGGTGGGGAACCATAATTCACTGGCATTTCAGGAGGTCTTCCTCTGTGAAGAGCAGCAAAGGCAGAGCCCTTCCAAATTGTGTGCCTGCAGTCTTTAAAATGAATTTTAGATACACATAAAATCTTGAAATTTAACCCAAAGAAAGATTTTATAGAATACTTACGTATATTGTAATAAACTGTTTATTCAAAGTTTTACCAACTATTATACTTTAACAGAAAAGCCCTAGAGGTTTATTAGACTACTTCTGAAGGAAAAAAGAAGTTTTAAGACATCTCAAATACAACAACTAACATTTGCGCAGCACTTTACAATTTACAAAGTGCTTTCCACATACATTATCTCATTGAATCCTCACAACAACCCTGTGAGGTAGGTATTACCATAAATTTATAAGTGAGGTAACTGAGGCTCAAAGGTTCTAGGTCCTTTAAAGAAATCCACCGCACATGATTAGTCAAGATGGACTATAAAACCAGATCTTTTAACCCCCAAGACCCATTCAATACCAAGTAAGAGTTCATTTTTCAATGCAGAATTACACCATACAGTATTAATGATACAAGGTCATAATCACAACTGATCCAACTTTCCAAAATGGAAATTTTTGTAAGGAAAACTTTAATTTCTTTGATTTATATGAAAACCCTTCACTTAGTAAATTTAAATGTTGAGTTTTAAAATTTATTTTTGCCATTATTACCATTGACTTTAATCTCCTTAGGAAGTACTGACAAAATTATATGGCTTTCCTCTTGTTTAAGGATCATAGATAATCCTTTATACAAGAGCATATATGTAGGAGGATCTGTCTGCCTGAACACTAATTCTAAAGTCCCATCCCTCTTTGACCCACCAGCAAATATACTAAGAAAGAGTATCTGTCCTCCCTGCAAGAGACAGCAGCAGAACATGGATGACACTGTGCTAGAAATCAGCTTCTTCCAAACAGAAAGAGAAAAGGTAAAAAGGGATCATATAAACCTCTACTGAGCCTCGGGTGCCCCAAACTAACAAGCATATTACGTTTTACATAAATGGGCTCAATACTACTATCATGATCAAAAAGCGGTTACAAGGCATCCTCTCATGGCACTAATACAAAACAGAAATATGGTCCCTACCCTAGGGCAGCTTGCTCGAAGTCTCTTCTAAGGTCAGCCAGTTCTAAAGCAGTGCTCATCACAAAACAACATAGAGCTTGACACAAGTTAAGAAAACAGGCTACCCAGGCAACTACTACAAAACAACCTAAAATAGAATAATTACAAGGTGAATAGGGACACAAAACGGAAGAATATGAACAGTTTCCTGATTCAAGTCACGCAGAGGTGGCATGGCCAGAGATCACTAACAAACAACTAGAGCTGACAAACCAGTCTGGCATGGAACCAAGAGAGAGGATTGTTCTTCCTCAGTCAAGCTTTGTACTGGTGGTGCATCTAAGAGGCAGCATCGTATCAACAACAGATCTTAAAAATAATCACGGGGGATGAACATGATGGATGCTCAGGTTCTGAAGAGCCAACATTCTTGACCATTAGCAGGTAAAGCCACGTTGTATACATAGATCATATCATATACATATACGCAGTCTAAATGATTTATACCATGCTAACAGAAAAAGAACAGGATTCCAAACATTTTGCCACCACATAACTTCGCAAAAGAATTAAGTTGATGAAGGAAAAAATCATGCAATTGTACATTTTTGCTACTTGTTTTCAAACTATCAAATTTAGAAAATCACTTCACTTATAACAAAGGGCTTTCAGAATCTAAATATCAAATGAAATACCTCTAGCATTTAAAGAGTTTATTAGACACATACAATTACATTCAATGAAGTTATAAGTGAGCTACAAAATAGAAAATTAAGAACTCACATTGATAAAACCCCAAACACATCTCAGAATAAACTTAAGCTTTTTGGCTTAACATCTATGCCTTTATCATTTTTTTTAATGCAGAAGGACCCATTAAACACTTATGTCAATCTCTATGCTAAATGCAGAGAATTTTATAGTCCATATCATGGTTTATAGTAGTAACATATCACCTTTCTTCCACAATGCTTACATTACTTCACAATTATAATAATTATTAAGCAAGTAATACAAAGCAGAACACTTCTTCAAATTAAGGTACCTTTTGCTGTACGTAGCAAAGACTGCCTTCCTGCACCAAGTAAAGAAGTGACTCTTGAAATACTGGGTGGAATTTCTTTATCCAAAATAGGACCGATGCGCTGGCAGATTTGCAACAGATGATCAGGAGCCACATGCTTATTGGACAAGACCTGAATGGAGAACAAGTTTTAAAAACAACATTGTTCACAATACTATTAAAAAATACGAAACATTTAGTGAAGTCTGACAAAACATTTGAAAAGCATATACAATGAAAACTACAAACCATTGCTGAGAAATTGAAGACCCAAACAGTAAATTCATCTATAGATTCGAAGCCAACCCAATCAAAACTCCAAAAGAATTTTGTAGAAATTGACACTTTTATTTTAAAACCCATATGCAAATGGCCTAGAAAGGCCAAAGCAGTTTTGAAAAAGAACAAAGTTCAAAGATAACAGTACCCAATTTTAGAACTTGGGACAACTGATCTTTGACAAAGGTGTAAAGGAGAAAGAAAGAATCTTTTTAACAAATGGTGCTGGAATAACTGGCATCCACTTACCAAAGGGGGAAAAAAAATTAACTTTGATGCATACAATGCACCATAAACAAATATCTCAAGACAGATCATACATCTAAACATATAATCTATAACCATAAAACTTACAAAAAGGGAACACTGTAGAATATCTTTATGATCTGGGGTTGGGCAGTTTTCCAATATAACACCAAAAGAATAATCCACAAAAGAACTAATCGATAACCTGGACTTCTCCAAAACTAACTGCTGGTTTTTTTCCAAAAGTACAGTCAAGATGAAAAGATAATGCAGAGACTTGCAAAGATAGTGCAAAGCATTAATATGATAAAGGACTTCTATCCAGAACATATAAAGAACTTTGAAAACCCTCCCAAAAAAATCTAATTTTTAAAATGGAGCAAGAGATGTGAAAAGACACCCCACCAAATAAAACTAATAAATGGCAAATAGATGCATAAAAAGAGGCTCAACATCATTTGTAGTTGTTGAAATACAAATTAAAACCATAATGAGTTATCACTACACTCCTATATTAGAATGGCTAAAATTAAGAAGACTGACCAGACAGTATAACAAAGAGAAGACATGTAGTGATTCTACAGCATCTTACTACGCTGATGGACAGTGACTGTAATGGGGTTTGTGGTGGGGACTTGATAATGGGGGGAGTCTAGCAACCATAATGTTGCTCATGTAATTGTACATTAATAATACCAAAATAAAAACAGAAAAATAAAAAAAGTAGTAGTCAGCAAGTATGGCAAACACCCCAGCTATTTGGAAGAGAGCAGTGGCCACCCAAATGAAACAGCCACAGGTATAAATCAAGGGCAGCATTACTATTGTGCAACCAAATTTAAAAGAATGACCGTACCACCCCTCTCCCCTTCCAGCCATGCTACCAACAGACCAGCTCAATCCCAGTCAGCATCTGGCTCCCACAGGTTGAATGCTCGCTCACACCACACATTCACTGAGGACTTGCAGGGCTTGGCACTGTTCTCAGATGAGAGGACAGGAGACAGAGAAGTCCCGCTGATCACACCACAGTGACAGTCTGAGGAGGGATGGTGGCAACACACTCTGAAACGCGTATAGAACACAAGGACTTCAGACACATAGCAGAGTCTCCAGGACAGGGAGCAACTTCAGAATGCATGGTCAGGAGGCGCTATGACCTGAGGATGAGGGAGGCGGGACACAAGACAGTCCAGAGAGTAGAGCTCACATTTGCAAAGACCTAAGAAGGGCGGCGGCTGCTATGGCATCAAGTACCGCCTTGAGGCTCCACATCTGGGCTCTCCCATCCTTTTCGCTCCTGAAAGCCAGACCTGATCTCACTTTACTCTTCTGCTTAAAAACCTTTGATTCCCACTGTCTATATAATAAAGTTCCTAAGAACTGAAGAAAAAAAAAAGGACTGAACAGACCAAGACTGGCAAAAATGTGCAGAAATACTGGTGGGAATGTAAAACAGTACAACCACTTTGGAAAAGAGCTGGGAAGTTTAACACATACCCCTACATATTATCCGGCTATTCCACTCCTACGGATATACCCAAGAAAAATAAGGCGCATGTCTATTCAACAAGCTTTCTTTTTAAGAGCCCTGAGTAGATAACCCAAATGTCCATTAACAGGTGAATACACACATTATTGTTTACCTGTACAAAGGAATAATATTCAGGAACAAAAAGAATGAACTATTAACAACACAAAATGACATGGATGAGTCTCATAATTATGCTAAAGTCATAAAAAGAATACACACTACATACTACATGACTTCATTTATATGAAACTATAGGAAATACAAACAGACAGTCACACAGACTGGACCAGAAGTTGCTGGGTATGAGGTTCGGGGAGAAACAAGAACTACAACAGGGAACAGGCAATCCTGGAGAGTGACACACATACTCACTGTCTTCATCTGAGTGTAAACACTTCCAAATTTATCCACTGGAAAGACAGATAAATGAGTGCAGTTTATTGTACAGCAAATATAACTAAAACAGAAAACAAAAACCAAATGGAAACACAAAGCGTACTGTGCTAAGTTTACTTCAAGAATAGGCCTAATGTTACCTGATATGCAAGTACCTGGCAGAAAAAATGATACATACCTACAGAAAAATATTCAAGAACTCAGGGACAAATTTAAGATGGAGATTCAATCATTAAGAAATTCCATATCTGAAAAGAAACATACAATGGACGGATTTGAAAGCAGATTAGATGTAGTAGAAGAGGCGATAAATGGTAGAAATAAGAAAAGAGGAACAGAAAAAAGCTAAGGCACAGGGAGAAAAAAGAATCTTTAGGAATGAAAGAATATTGAGAATGGTGTGAACAATGCAAATGGAGAAATATACACATGACAGGGGTACCAGAAAAAGAAGAGACAAAAAGGGATAGAAAGTGTCTTTGAGGAGCTAATTCCCCAATCTGCGGAAGGAGATTAGTATCTCAGGCCATGGGGGTGCAGAGATCTCCAAACACAAGGGACTCAAGGAAGACAACATATAATACCAATAATAATGACCAATATTTAAATATAAACCAAGACATGTAATAATTAAAATGGCAAAGATAAAGAATAGGGACAGACTTTTAAAAACAGCTAGAGAGATGGGAGACAAGATGGCAGCATGAGTAGAGCAGCAGAAATCTCCCAAAACCATACATATTTTTGAAAATACAACAAATACACCTATTCCTAAAAGAGAGACCAGAAGACACAGAACAACAGCCAGACTACATCTACACCTGCGAGAACCCAGCACCTCACAAAGGGGATAAAAAACAAGCCGCGGCCCGGGTCACGCCCCTCACCCCAGCTCTCGGTGGGAGGAGAGGAGTCGGAGTGTGGAGGGAGAGGGAGCCCAGGACTGCTAAATACCCAGCCCTGGTCATCTGCACTGGGAGCACAGACACACAGTGCATGGTGTGCTGGATATTAGGGAAACAGAACAGTAAACCCTGCAAGCGAATCCCCATAGCCAGCGCCTCTGGGACAAAAGAAGAGCGAGCGCTCTTTGAAAGTCTTAAGGGGACAGGGACCCCACAGCTGGACGTTTAAGTGCCACGGCACACTCAGCCCAGCAGCTGGGAATCCCGGGAAACTCCGGGCGCCCTAGCCCCTGGGCAGCAGCACAGCTCTGAGGCCCCTCACGGCAATAAACAGCCTCCTGCCCGTTCCCCCTCCAGTGCAACTCAGCCATAGTGTAGCAGCAGCCTGAGGCCAGTCACGCCCACAGAAGCAGGGCAGAGCTTCTTTAACAGCGGCCGGGGAAGAATCAGACACCCCGTCAGCGCGCACCTGCCCAACACAAGCCACTAGGGGTCGCTGTTCTCTCAGGAGAGGAAGGCCACAAACTACTAGCAAGAAGGGACGTTCTTGCAGCCGACACATGCACCAGCTCCCCACAACTACCTCCATCGCCATGAAAAGGCAGAAGAATTTGATCCAGACCAAAATCACAGAGACAAACTCTGAGAAGGAGCTTGGAGAGATAGACCTAACCAATTTTCCAGAAAAAGAATTCAAAATAAACGTCATAACCATGCTGATGGAGCTGCAGAGAAAAACACAAGAGTTAATGGACAAAGTAGGGAGGGAGACTACAGAAATAAAACAGTCTCTGGAAGGATTTAAAAGCAGAATGGATGAGATGCAAGAGCCCACTGGTGAAATAGAAACCAGAGAAGAGGAACGCATAGAAGCTGATGCAGAGATAAAAGGATCTCCAGGAATGAAACAATATTAAGAGAACTCTGTGAGCAATCCAAACGAAACAATACCTGCATTATAGGGCTAGTATAAGAAGAGAGAGAAAAAGGGATAGAAAGTATATTTGAAGAAATAATTGCTGAAAACTTCCCCAAACTGTGGGAGGAAATGATCGCTCACCCACTAAGTACACAGAACTCCCAACAGAAGGGACCCAAGGACAACAACAAGACATATAATAATTAAAATGGCAAAGATCAAGGACAAGCACAGAGTTTTAAAGGCAGCTACAGAGAGGAAAAAGGTCACCTACAAAGGAAAACCCATCGGCTATCATCAGACGTGTCAACAGAAACCTTACAGGGCAGAAGAGAATGGCATGATGTATTTAATACAATGAAACAGAAGGGCCTTGAACCAAGAATACTGTATCCAGCACAATTATCATTTAAATATGAAGGAGGGATTAAATGATTCCCAGAGAAGCAAAAGTTAAGGGAATTTGACTCCCATAAACCACCTTTACAGAGTATCTTAGAGGGACTGCTCTAGATGGAAGCACTTCTAAGGCTAAATACATGTCACCAGAGAAAATAAAATCACAGCAAAGAAAGCAGACCAACCAAATACTAACTAAAGGCAAAAAATAAAATCAACTACTCACAAAAGCAGTCAAAGGAAACACAAAAGAGCACAGAATGAAACACCTAACATATAAAGAATGGAGGAGGAATTAAGAAGGGAGAGAAATAAAGAATCATCAGACTGTGTTTAAAATAGCTCAATGAGCGTGTTAAGTTAGACAGTAAGGTAGTAAAGAAGCTACCCTTGAAACTTTGGTAACCACGAATCTAAAGCCTGCAATGGCAATAAGTACAGACTTTCAATAATCA